TAGTAGATAAACCTACTAGAACATTTCGTTTTTGTGTTGATTAAATATATGAATTAGCTATCTGAGCTTCCATTATCTTGAAAGCTAAAACGTTGTGTTACGGGTTTCAGGTTAAGCTTGTACAACAATCTTTACCGGGCTGGACTCACACTCGAGATTTTGGCAATTAGCAAGAAACTCTATCTCTCTTTGTTATATACTCGAATCGGGATGTTAGACAGAAATAGAAAATCATGTCTGAATTGCTTAATAGAATTTTCTTAATTTTGCACGTTTATCAATATCCGTTTAGAAAAGAGTATTATTTAAAATAAAAATGCAATACAAATATTGAAATATTGTCAGAGCAGATATCCACCATTACATATTCGATCCATTTACATTATTAGATTTAAAATAATCAATATTCATTTACTTTAAATTTGAACTTTCTTGTCATTCTGCTATACGGTCTGTGAATCATTAAAATGGTAATTTACGCCCCACTGCCGCTATCATGCTATGAAATAAAGGAATTGTTCCTTGGCAGCCTTTTTATTTTACGTACTAACGAGTAGTTTTACTTTTAGGGGAATCCACAGACGTCTGATTGACAATTGGAATGATGTAAATCGATCCTATCTGTGTCCCCTATACACGAATAAAAAGTTTAGAAAAGGAATTTTTGTAAAAAAAAAACAAATCATTTCGTGCTGTTATCACACTACCAATATGTGCCCAGGATCAATAACAGAGTAATAAGCCACAATGTTTGGGAAAAATACTTCATATGGTCTTTAAAACAAGTAAACCGGAAATTGTTCATTTTACTTCCCACTTATCCTGATATTCCAAGCTTTCTTTGCTTTATTTATATTCCTGTTGTTGCTTAGTAACTAAGGTCAAAACTCATCCAAATGTTTCTTCAGTGATATGAAATGCTCTTGAATTTTAATATCTACCTACGGGTTTAAGTGTTCTTGGAGATTTTTTTTAAAATATGATAGCTCTCGCTAAATAATTACTCGTTTAATGCTAACAATTTATCCCTATAGGATAGACAATGGTCATTAACACAACGAAACTCTATTTAAACGGCACAAGCTTAAATATTCAAAATATTCCTTCATTGATATAAAGTTTTTGTAGTCCGATAAACCTTGGAGACTTGGTGATTATCTTCTCGGGGAAAAAACTATTCATGTTATTGGACAAAGATACTTTCGCCCGACAATTCCTGTTGACCACAACACGAATTCTGGATCAAACAGACATATATTAATGCTTTAGCGACATTTAGGGGTAGGTCACCTGAAGATGACAATGTAGATTGTTGAAACGTCGTGTGTAATAAAATTAAGGAGTAGTATACCATAAACTTGTGTTCCGTTATTTAAGACATATATAAGTGTGTTTAAGATATATGTTTTGGCAGACAATGTCTGCAGAGTGACCAAAACACAAATTCTAGACCAAACAGGCAAAACCTACATAAGGGTGTTTAAAACACGAAATCTAAGAACTTGGAATAAAAATCTTTCCTTAATGAATTGAGGTTGAGAAAGAAAAGAAATAAAACATGAGCTTACCGGATCAGTTGGAAATCTGCTCTCAATCTGTTTAAGATTCATGGTAGAGTACGGATTGGCGGCCATTTTCACTGTATATATCCACTAATATTGTAAGAGTATAATGAAGTTTTACGTCTTCGTGTTCCTTGTCTCAGTAAGGGTATTTCTCGGAACTTTCACAATCATATCAAAACATCCGACTTCGAAATTCACTCGATCTTCGGATCGAAGTATTCTACTCGAACATAATATCCTACCTACCTACTCGAAAGTTTTCTGTTCAAATAAATGGTTATTTACAATTTCTGTCAATTTTGTGACTTTTCGTTTTTTGTTGAGCTGTTAGCGTAGATCACAGATTGAGTAATACTGACTTGTATATCACAAATTTTTCTTCGTTTGTCTTTCAAATTACTCAGAACAGATTAGGTATAACACTTTTTAATACACTCGAAATACAATATGTTTATTTGGAAAACTCAACTGTTAAAAACAAATTAATGGTTTTCTATCCAAATCACATGTTTTAGATAATTTAATCCAATATTTCAAATCGAGGATTTCCTTGTTATGAATTGTATATCACAAATAAACAATTATTGTCTTTTCAATTGCCTAACAAAAGTAAATAATCACACATTTTGATACAGTTGAAATATTAAACTCTCATTTAGAACAACTGCTTATAACAAAAAAATCATTTCGTAGCCAAAACAAACATTCTACACATTTTAAATAGCTTAATTAATTTAAATTTTTCTATTTGATTCACATATTCAAGTTTATGTTTTTACAGATTTATTTACCACCAAAATATTGTCTTAGATCTCAGACCTCACCCCGCTTTTCTAAATATTTACTAAATTGCGCAAGTGTTCATACCAAGTATTGAATATTATCTAGAATAACTGGTGTTGAAGTGCTGCACATGTCTTGAATAATATTTAAATAACAGATTAAAGCTACTGAATAGAATCGATTCCAGATTAAATGGCTGTTTGCTCTTATTGGGACAAAAACTACAACGGTCTTCATGATAGGTTATAACTATCTTTAAAAGTTTTATATAAATATTACATACATATCAAAGGACATGCAGTTTCCATCACATTAAAGGGATTGTGACGAGGCTTTCTAAAGTTTTGTATGTGTATTATATCTGGGACAATGTTAGCATCCATTTGTGCCATTCCAATTTTCAATCAGACGTCTGTGGTTCTAGTCATTATACAAAGGTATATGATACATTACAAATTTTGCAGGAGTGACGTCATAAAACACTTTTATTTTCTTTTTTTATCCTGGCTTACCCCTGTTACCTTGTATTATCTCTGTCTAATGTCTAATATCGGGACTTCTCTATGTTACCATAGCTAATATTTATTTTCACAATTTATCTGTTAACATGATTTATCTCTGTCATCATGGCCTATCCCTGTTACCATTCTATATCTGTTATCATGTTTTATCTCTGTTATCATGTTTTATCTCTGTTATTCTAGTTAATATCTGATATCGGGACTTCTCTGTGTTACCATAGCTAATATTTATTTTCACAATTTATCTGTTATCATGTTTGATCTCTGTTATCATGTTTGATCTCTGTTAACATGTTTTATCTCTGCCATCATGGCCTATCTCTGTTACCATTCTATATCTATTATCATGTTTGATCTCTGTTATCCTGTTTGATCTCTGTTAACATGTTTTATCTCTGTCATCATGGCCTATCTCTGTTACCATTCTATATCTGTTATCATGTTTTATCTTTGTTATCTTGAATTTTCTCTGTTATTCTAGCTAATGTCTGATATCGGGATTTCTCTGTGTTACCATAGCTTATATTTATTTTTATAATTTATTTGTTATCGTGTTTAATCTCTGTCATCTTATTTTATCTCTGTCATCATGGCCTATCTCTGTTATTATGTAATATCTTTTAACATGGCCTATCTCTGTTACCATGTTCTGTGTCTGTTACAATGACCTATCTCTCTTATTATGTCTTATCTCCAGATTTTTTTATGCCTGTTATCTCTGTGATAAAAGCTTATCTCTGGTCTCTGTTACAATGGCTTATCTCTCTTATTATGTCTTATCTCCAGTATTGTACCTGTTATCTGTGTAATAAAAGCTTATATATGTCATAATAGCATAACGCAGTTACCAAGTCTAATCATCTTATTAAGCAAGTAGGATATAGCCCTGGATAAAATATCTAAGCATGGAAATTAGCATCGTAGTAGCCTTAAGTAATTGAGTAATAATTAGAAATGTTGTTGCTCTAACGTACATACAAATATATTGACCAATCCTACAAGGTAGGCTACATGTGAACTATAAACTAAATATTGCAAATTCTTATGTAACCCTGCCACTCCTTGATTTTTATTCCAATCCAAATATCTATTCTATATAAGTTTTTAATGAAAGTTAAAAGAGTTTTAATACTAATAGAAATCCTATTTAATTACCGTATTGATAGCAGCTCAATAGAATTATATATTATCATTGATTGGATTAAATACTTCAAGTTGGATTGCCTGCGTGATATGAAAACACTTTCATTCAAAGAGCAATGGCGTCTCTTTGAATCATTGAGGGGGTGGGAGAGGGGGCCCCACAGCACCAGAACTCAATTGAAAACTCAATTATAAGAAATTTGAATAAGATGCATTTCTTTATACGATTTTTTCTAAATTTAAGGGATTGTAAAGAGGTTCTGTATTTTTTTTTTATCTGTAATGGTATACAGAAAGCTCCATTGCAATTTTCAATCAGACGTCTGTGAGTCTTGCAATTTCCCTAAAACAAAGGGTTTACTGACGTAGCTATCATGTCATATGACGTCATATACGGTTAAACAAACAACGTACTGACGGGAAAATGGAAATATATACCCAATATATTCCCGATACTATGGAACAGATGGAAAACCTCCTCACATCTCTTTAATAGAAGATATATATAAAAATAGCCTAGGACAATCCAACTTGATATCGATGAGTCCAGCAGTATTATTGATAAGAGATTTGTTTTCTATGTGGATTCATACGATTGTTTAATTTGTTTGGCTATACAACTTGAAGCTAACGAGATTCTGATGTTCAGTTATTTGTGTTAGTGTTTGAAGTTGAGATATACCTTTATCTGTTCAATAGACGGAGGAGACCATTTGCATAACGAGTAGAATTGTTGATTTCCAGTTTTAACAACTGAATAAACCTTTTCATAACCAATTCCGTAACCAAAATAATAGAGAATCAGAAAATACAATACCATTGGCAACGTTTCAAAGACATGGTGTTGGTAAGAACAGAGGAAGAAATGAAATAAATGAAGTTTTACATCCTTTGTGTCTGTATCTGGCTCAGCTAATGAGAAAGGACACAGTGTGAAATGGATGAAATTTGACAGGACAATGGCATTGACCTGCTCTTTTGCAATTTCCAACCGTTGAGGGGAGGGGGGGACAGGGTCTTGCATTTTAGGAGACACCAGGTGAGGGGGCGAGCAGGGGCCACAAAAATTTTCCAGGGTGGCCAGAGGTCATTCCTTCACTATGTAAAGTGATAAAAAATTGAAAGTGGTGAGGCCAAACCCAGGCCCCTTGAAGAAACACCACTGACATGCGACCTCAGGTTCATTTGTTTCTCTTTCTGTTTCATCACAACACCTTTACCATTGTAACCAAGAAACACTCAAGAAGCAATCTTTATTAAAAACTAACTAAATAATTTTATGTCACCTCATCTATTTCTTGTTTAAATGAGGTATCAAAATCTTCATGTAAACTTGTCAGGAAATGTTTCTTAGTTTGATTCTCCGCTGAATTTTTGTATAAACGTGTGTGTTTCAAACTCTGAGGAGCTCTATAGTCATATTCAAATATTTCTGGATGCTGTTCGCAAATATCAGAATAAGCACGACAAATTCTTTGATATTCTTCCATTATCAGTAAAAATGGACGCTCAAAAGGATCTACTTCACTCCGTGTAAATAATTCTTCTGTTAATTTCTGTTGATCAGCTGGAAATAAAGTTCTGAAAAAAATATTGTATAATTTGTATAAAAAAATGTTTCACATATTAAATGCTTAGTTTTAGTATAAAGTTTTATAAGAGATACTCTCTTATAGAAGCACTGGCCTAGGTCACAAGTAGGGACTGTGGATTTCAACATTGGACTACAGACATCTGACTAAAAATTGGAATGGTGCAAAGGATCCTACCAGTGCCCCAATACACTTGAACAGTTCAGAAAACCCCTTTAGAATCTTCCCTTGAAAGAATTCTACAACTAAAAAGAACCAATAAAAACTTACTCAGCTCATCAGTAACATTTTCTGTGTCAATATTGGCCAATTTGCAAGACTAGCTGCGTTAAAAGACAATTTCTATAAGCAATTTAAGGGATTCTACAAATAAAGGATTAATGAATTAAAGGGTTAATTATATACTTACTCAGCCCCTCTGTAACATTTTTTCTGTCTATAATGAAAGAAATGACGTAGAACTTTTTCAACTTGTAAAAATGGTACATCTATCAATGGTTGTTTTAAAGGTAAAAACTTTACCACTCCTACATCTACTTTAGGTGATGGAGTGAAGGCTTTTCCTGAAAACAGAAAATATTAATGAAGGGGTTTAGATATGAAGGAAACATGAAGAAAAATACAGTCCATAAGTCATTATTTAAACTGAGCTCTCTTAATGTGGTCTATTTCATCTCAACCTTCCTTTCTTTGGTGGCAGAGGGAATTTTTTTTCAATTTTGGTATAATTTACGATTGTAAAAACTGTCTGACTCCATTAATGAGAAAAATAAAGGGATAAAACTAGTACTTTACCTGGTATTACAAACTCTAATTTTACTTTACAAAGATGTTGACACATAACAGACAATCGACACCTTTCACTGACTCCAATTTGAGAGACCATTCGTTCTGCTACTTCCTTCTGAAACGTCAACGTCAGTGGTGTACGACCAAATTTCCAAGGTCCAGTTCTCTCTGATATGGCTTTCAGGAATTTAATGATTAACGGAGTAGAGACATTGAATGGTAAATTGCCAATAATATGTATATCAGAGGGGCTGTCGTCCCAGGGTTTCGAGAATTCTTCCGGTATTAACGTATCTAGACTATAATTTAAAATATCACCATGAACAACTCGCATATTCTTACCAGACAATCTGGAAATAGTCTGAAATGAAAAATAAAATACATGAACTGCAATTAATTAACAGTACAGTACTGAGGAAAATGTAAACAATGTTTTGGTACGGAAACTTCTATTAATGAATATGATTCCAATATATCTACGTAATCTTTTTCATGCAACCAACTTCATAAAGAAATCACAATGACATTATCCAGTGAGTTTTCTCTGAGCAAGAGTATGAAGTCTTCAAGTCTCTTGGCTCTTATTATTAACAAGTACTTATCTCATGCACAAGAATCCTGTTGCTGATCTGAACGTTTCAAATAAATCTTAAAAGATGAAATCAGGAACAATACCTCTAAACTGGGAAGAAATCGTTTGTCCTTTTCAATAACAATCAATCTATCAATATCTTTCTCCAGTATAGCACGAGTTATCCCCCCTGGGCCAGGCCCGACCTCGATCACAACATTGTTCGTCAGATTTCCAGCTTTACGGATTATCTTTTTATTCAGGTTCATGTCCAACAGAAAGTTCTGTGACAAACTTCGTATCGCTCGTAATTTATAAAATCTGATGATCTCTTGAATATTTGGCAAGGGAGGTAAACGACTCATCTTTAAGACATTAGACCACAGTACCTCAATTAGAATTAATTTGATCTGAAATTATAAAGTAAAACAGTAGCCTATACTTTTACTTTGTTACCTACTTTAGTTGACAGTCACCGTGACATTAATCAAATAACATTTTCATCATTTTTAATATCCCCTCCCCCCCTTTTTTTTTCTTCCACATCTAATTCTTTTGCTTTCCTTTTTTTTTCCATGAAGAGAAATATGATAAAACAGTGTCAGTGACTTACACTGCTTTCAGAATTGAAAAGACAAGAATTTCATGCTGAGAATCGGATTATGCAAGGGAAATTTTAACAGTATAGTGAAATAAACTTCTTAATTTTAAACTTTTCTTGCTACTCATGGGCGCTGACATCTTGGTTTTGTACAAAACGCAAAAAATGCACATAATCACATGCGTGACAAACTGAATTTAAATTATATAGATAGTTGTAGATGGTAAATAAATTTAGATTTAGAATTTTATTTAATCCTTAAGTATTTCAAAGTTTTATTCAACCTAGATATTATTTCGATTCTCTTTTAAACAAAAAAATCAATAAGCCAGATAAGCGCCACCCTCGGTGACCTAATTTGTTTGATATGTGATTATCCAGTACTTTAGCCGTTTAAAATAACAAATAAGTTTACGTCTGGCTGATTGAGACTATTATCGATTCAACATGGAAGCCAAATGAAACTCGATCCGCCAAATTCAAATGATTTTTAACAAAATGTAATTAAAAAAGAGCAAATTAATTAGCTAATTTTCGCAGACGATATGGCGGAGAAGAAGTTTACGTGCTATGATCTTTTTGTAAACTTAATTTCGCTGCTTACTTTTCTTGTAGACATTGGAACAGGTGAGAATCATTTGTTTACTTTTTGCAATTTAAATTTTTTGTTTATAAAATTTATAAATCGTTTTAGTTAGTCTTAACACTGACTCTTGGATCAATTAGAAAAAAAACTGGTATCAATGAATGGTCATGAGCTAGAATGAAATTTGTTTATTCATTTTTCTCTTCTTGCCTTGCCTTTGTGATTGACTGCTCGTCGAAGACATGGAACCACACAGTCAGAACAGAAAGGTCAGGGGTCACATTTGTTAGCTATCAAATGAGTGACTTGGGTGGAGTTGGTTTCATTGTAACAGGAATTTCCTGGTTCAAGTGCCAACCACTAGTACTGATGTAGACTATAACAATTATGATATTTATACATGAATAAACAATAAGCGTGTAAGCGAGGGGGGGGGGGGGTATATCCAGAAGTTAAAGATTCCTGAATGGTAAAATATTGGCTTCAGAATAGAATTAAAGGAATTAGGCAAATGGAGTGAAATGAAAACATTCTTTCAGCAATGCAATCAAATCAATGGACCAAAACACTTTATATTAACAATTGTGTGAGGCTTTAACAGTTTTAGAACAACACTATAGGTTTAGAGACTGGCTGTAGCCTGTTAATTGCTTTTAATTGACTTTAACACTTAATTAATCCTAATGACTTCTATTGAGTTTTGACCTTGTTTAAGGTCACTATTTATTTCACTTATTTATTTTGTATGATTTGGACCATGGATAAATAAAATATTTCCATGATGAAAATTTGTAATAAAAAAAACTTTTGTCCTAGTGATTAAAATCAAATTTATGAATATTTATCTTTTCTACAGTGCTTATGTAAGCTTATTGTTTTATTTTTTTGGGAGGGGGAGAGGGACCACAAAATGTTCACTTTGCACATGAAAAAACACCATATAGTTTGGATGAGTTTTGAGTAACACTTTGTCAATAATAAAATAAGCTTATATAGCAAAATTACAGTTTTGAAAGCCGAAGAACTTTGTTTAGTTAAGGTTTTAAGAATTCAGTATGAAAATATTCAAAATAAGTCAATTTGAATAGGATACTGCTTACTAAAAAATATTCAGTATAAAATTTAACCAGTATGCTAATTGACTGTTTCTTGTTGATTATTCCAGATATTTTAGTGGCTGTAGAGTTCTATGAAAAAGGTCATATAGTATGGGGCAGTCTATCTGTTCTATTTATAGCCCTACCAGCAGTAGTAATGCAGTTTTTTAGTATAAAATGGTATTATAATGATGGATCTTTAACTTGTCTGACATTTTTACCTCATTTATTACTATTAGGACCAGTTTTTAGGTAGGTTCATTTAGATGCATCGTTTTTCTAACTTTGTTATATAAGCTGTGTGGAATATCAGAAAGCAATGCCTTATTGAAATAATTGGACACTGTATACTTTAACTTTCTTGTGATACATGTTACAAGCTTTATTTGAATAAACTAATTTTGAACCTCTACAATTAGGATTTTTAACTGTATATTTCAATATTTTGATATAAATGTACTGCATTGTTAGTTTTGAAACTTTTATATTTCAGATATGTAGGTGTGATACGTCAAGGTTTGAAAGCGAGACAGAAAACAGGAGATGTCGTACGTCATACCTCTAATGTTTTTAATCAACAAAATGATATCAGTATTTTACGTCTGATTGAAGCGTTTTTAGAATCAGCTCCCCAACTATGCCTTCATCTTTATATTGTGTTGATAACTCTGGAAATAGACTGGCTTTCAGGTAGGTATTTTATTACCTTCTCGTCTGTATGTATGGTAATCTTGTATGTCAGGTTTAAAAGACAGTTCTGTTCCAACAGATGATGAAACAGCAGGTGATTTAAAGGCATTTTGAAGATATTTCTTTAAAAAATTCATGATTGGGTTATAGTGTCATTATCACAAATGGAGTTTTTGCTTTAATGTTGTCCTATTTGGTCGTGTTTCTCTAGAAATACAGGATAATATTGTCATATTGTTGTATTTTGCAGGTGTATCATTAGTAAGCTCTCTGCTATCTCTATCCTGGGCTATAACTGCCTATACTGATGCTCTGCGTCTGGCCTATCAAGTTGGATATACCCGCAGATGGATTGGGTTGATATTACATACAATATGGAGAAACTTTATGATAACTGCAAGAGTTACTGCCCTTGTTTTATTCGCTTCTGTTTTTAAAGCTTGGGTTTTCCTGGTTGTAGGTAAAGTAGATATGTTATTCATGTTGAATATCAATCTTATTAAAATTACAAAGATTACAAAAGATGTGCTCTGATTGGTTAACAATAGCATCACAAGAACAGGACTGTGTTATTATACTTGTTGGATTGCAGTCGAGGCGAAAAATATTAAAAAACAGGAAAAATAAGAAACAAGATTGTAACGTATTTTATCCTTCCCTAATCTTTTGATTTTAAAGTTTTGTAACATCTGACTACAGTCAGTATAAATTTGAAATATTTATTTTGTAATTGGCTTTGATTCCAGGTATCCACTGGCTGGTAATGACAATAATTATTGGTATACAAGGTATAGATTTCGGTGATGGCTGGTTGGAGACTAATTTATTCAGAATGGTGGCTGGATTTATACATATCTTCTGTTTTTTAAACGTGAAAGATGGCTCGACGCGACTTCGACTGGCAGGGTTTTATATATTGATAATATTAGAGAATGTTGGATTATGGGTGTGTTGGTATTTTTATACCGATGTACCAGAGCTAGCCACTATTTCTGGAGTCATTGTATTTGGTAGTTTCGTACTAGGTAAGTACTGATGTTAAACTTATATTATTTTGTTCACTTTCTTTCCAAAGTTATCATTTCTTACTAATCCAGTCAAACCAGCTGTAAAGCATCATTTGGAAAAGATCAACACCAAGAAGTTTGGGCAAGGGCAAGCTTGTAGAACGGATCTTGGATTCTTTTTTTAATTACCACAAATAATTGAACATTTTGATAAGGCTGTTTCGTCGTCCATTTCTCATGAATACAATTTTGTTACTAAGAGAAAATGATTTGTTATATTAGGGTTGGTATTTTTGTTGATATATTATGGTAGTTGTCATCCTGGAGGTCCTATCAGTATCCTACAAATCAACCCTCCTGTTACCTATCAACCTACTATAGTCAGGCGCGGAGATCGGGTAAGTTTCATGAATTCTTTGTATCCTTGACATTGATAATTCTTTAATTTCCGAGTCATAAATGAAGTGAGAAAGTAGAGTCAGTTGATGGATTGTGATATACCGGGAGATAATAATGTTATTTTACTATGTTTATTATGGACTATGCATAAAGGAAGAAAACCAAGAGAGCTTCAGAGAGATTTCTTAAGTTTATGTCACTAGAAATGGCGATATTTTTTACTCTGGACTCATTAATCTTGTTGGTATAGCTTAGTTATTAGTCTTATAATTTGAACTCATTGGTTTTTAGATCATAATCATTTTGACTATATTTTATTAATTTTAGAATCAAGAAACAAGGAAGGATATTTTTAACCAATCAGATTCCATATTAGACTACAACCAGTCCCGTTATACAATGGTGGATTTAAGTGGGTTTCAGTCACCGAAGGGACAAGGTGGGGATGGTGAGCAAGGACCTTCGAGTCCCTTCGTTCACTCAGCAACCAATACTCCATGTCCAAGAACAGCCACAGATAGAAACTTGATGGCTATTTGGGAATCTAGTTCTCAGCTTGCTTTAAATAACTCAGATCAAGGTGGTTTCAAGAATTCCAATTCACAATCAAAACTTTCTGTTATTAGCGATCAAACTCAACAACGACAATCCAAAACCAAAGATGAGGACTACAGCATAATGTACAACGAAGGAACAGATGGGTTGATGTTCAGAATCAGATCTCAAAAAGATCTACGTAACAGCGATTGTAGTCCATATTCTGTCACAAATCTCTCTATCATCAATTCCAATCCGTGTTCTCTGTCTCCTTTAGACGCTCACAAGCTTTGGGAAGAATCCAAGCGTCGACTTTCAAGATCCCCAATTTCAACTTCCTCATCAGAGTCTTCAATTCAGAAGTTTTTCAGGGGAGAAAAGGCAAGAAGTAGCATTTCATCTACGTATTCCTCTGAAATTTTCAATGATAATAACATAACTGTTCGGGAGGCCCCCCCTCCACAAGATGGAGTCCCAGTTTATAATCTCGAGTCCCATCCTGTCATTATCAAGCCACCAGTCCCTGTGTTCGAGACTTTCAATGATTCGGCTGAGATTCAACATGGTTCGGTTTTAAAACTTAAGAATGATTTTGACCAAGACATTAGAAATGAGCAGAAAAAACAACAAGTTACTGAGAAGTATTTCACAGCTAAGCATCATCAGTCTTCTAATTCTCCTGTATCAAAAGATTTGCCTATTCCTTCATTTGCCCCACCAGCACCAACCATGGCAGCTACAAATCCCAAAAAGTTGGTATCGTTTTCAAGCAACCTGGTAGAGCTGGAGCCAGTGTACAACCATTACAAATATGGCTGCTTAACACCAGATGTATTAAATTTCCCTACACCTGAAAAATTAAGAAGCTTCCAAAATCAAAATGAATGGAACTCCGAAATTCCTTCCAGAAGTTATTCCAATCAAAATGAATCCAGTCCCAATACCTCCAACAACAGTGGAGGAGCTCAGGAAGCACCAGTCTGTATCAATAGTAGCATTCTCTCCGGAAATTCCTGCTGTAGCCCAACATTTCCCTTCATTGATGAAACCTGTTCCGAGGCTAGCAGCGAGAAGTCTTCAGTCCGACCTCCGTGTGATCCTAAAGTCTGCTACATGTCTGCTGTGACACAACTGGCAGACAATGAGGTGGCTGAAGTGATGCAGAATTCGGTAGAAGAACAAGAGTTAGGATGTGTTGATACTGTAGGTCCAATTCAACAAGCACCTGTCCTTCCAGAAAGCTTGTATCACCCATCAAGCATGCGACAACCACAAGATAGAACAGTGGTTGATGGTCACGATTTGAGAAAAAACACCAATGATTGTAATAGGTCATGGCCTGATGAGATCGTGACACCAGTAGCTGTTGAACAAGTCAGATCTCCTCCCTCTTATAAAGAAGCTTGTCAACGCAGCAAGGTTTTGTCGTTCATTAAAGGCACTCAAGAGGCTTCTGAAGCCATTCCTGAAAATTGTGAACTCGGTTTCGATGCTTCTCAGCTGCCTATCTCATCTCGAGACGCGTCATTACGTTTGGATTATCTCAACATTGACCCTTCTCCAAATATCAACATGAGCGGCAATCCAAAATTACGTTCAGAGAAACACTCGAAGTACAGACTTAATGTCTCAGATCCAGGATCTACTCCTATAAAGCTCCAGGAATTCGAAGATTCACCAGCCAAATTTGGACGTAACATCGATCTGTTCAAAACTGGAGATTGGAACAGACTTGAAGATCAAAATGTAGGCCGTAATTCACAGAAATCCGTATCAAGGAGACCCCTATCTGGAAATTTTGAAATGAGAGAAATGGAGGCCTCTCCTTATACTCTCGAGCTCTCTGATGTCCCAGAAAACTCGAAAGAAAATGACATTGATCCAAACAGTATGTCCCCTCCTCTGAAATCCAGTTCCTTAAAAACTTCCTTGGCTAGAAAGAGGTCGATTTCAAGACGTGATAGCCTGAATAAAGAATTTGAAAATAGTGGAAACTACGTTAAAGCCCAGCCTAGTGGATCAAAATTCACAAATATCAAACGAAGAAGTGATTATGTTCAATATGGAAAAGCTGCAAAAGATCGAGAAAATATCGGACCACGAAAGCGAAGGAACAGTGGATCAAAAACACCCAAGAAAAATCGTAACAGTGGTGGTTATAACGATTCATTTGAGAGTGATTCCATCAATCACAAGTCTCGACAACCATTAGGTTCGTTAGATAATAGCCCAGTAGTAGTGTCTCATCAATCCTTCCGTTCCAAACCAGATTTTAGATTCAGTGTCACACCTAAAAAGACAACAAGTCTAAATATAGTCTCTGATGACATCATCAATAAACAGCCAATCAGAAAGTGGGCACCTGCTAATTTAAATACAATTACTCCTGATAAGAAATCACAGTCCATGAGGAAAACATCTTCACGTAAAAATCATTTACAACTCCCAGCGTATGGTCTATCTAAAACTAGATCGATGGAACATTTGTACTGAATCTTGCCTTGGAGCTGAACAGAATTGGTTTAAAATTCTTGGACCTGTTACAGAAGCTTTTTTATTTAATGCTATATTTTACTTATAAAATTGTATATATTGAATTTTTTTTTATTTTTTAAATTTTGTAGCAATATTTTTAAAAATGTACATTTACAAAAATTAGATTTATTAGAATTTTAAATTTTTTGAGGTAATCTTTTTTGATATGTTATTTAGAGAAATGCTTTCTCTTAGTAAAATTTGTAAGAAAATTACAAAAAGAAAGGGAACATTAGTTAGCTTATTTTTTATTTGATGTTTTCATGTAAACAGCAATATTTAAGGAGGGGTTTATAAGAGGGCATTTTGATAATGTGAGTTTTCAAATTTTATAATTGGTGCTGGCTGCTAACAGTATTTTTTGTATTTTTATTGTCTCAATTTGCTTCCATCCATTTTATTTACTTATCATGTTTCATCTTCATTGTTCATTTTCAAATTCTTCAGTCAGTCTGAAGGCTATTTTCTCTTTCTCTGTACAGAATTTTGAAAGGGTATATTGATTAAGGATCTATTTGGATCAAATTAATTTAATCATTTCTGGATGAAGATTTTTGAAGCAGTTTTTTAAGCTGTATTTGAATTAAATTGTGTCTATTGTTTTTGTAACTTGAAAGTTACATTTTGGAACTTAAATCATGTAGATCCTGATGTAGATCCTGACAGATTTCACAGAGATTAGCTTCATTTAATTTCTCATGTAATTTCATACTCTAAATTTCCTAGTCCATTGTAACAATATTTTATTTTATAACAAGGGCAATAACTCTTAGTGTCATTTTATATTCATATTAGCCATGGTTAGAATTTGTATTATATGCATGGTAGAATTTAGTATTTACTGCTTAATTTTAAGGAAAATGCTTTATTTTTTCCACTTTTTACACATTAAAAATTGTAAAATACAAATCAAGTTCTTTTTGGTCGAAGTATGTAACATAGGAAGAGGATTGTATTTTTTAAACTTTTAAGTAACTTAATATAGAACTTACTGGGCACCATTGAGAAGTGAAACTAGAAGCTATAATTGTCCACGATACAAGTTCTCTTTTGAACTACCAACAACTTGCCTAGGCTGAAATAACAGTTAGCTGTAAGCAGATATTAACTTGTCATCTATCAACCCTCTTTTGAATTTCAAAACTAAACAGCCTTGCTTTGCACCCACCCAGGAGAGAATAGCCACTAGTTGACCACATCTCAGTATTTCCTTAAAGCGGTGATTAAACGGAACGATTTGTCCAAAGGAATTATCCTTCTATGTAATCACTGCCATACAAACCCAACAATATATACCTTTGTTTATTTTTAATAGGCATCAAGCTTAAAGATAAATACATTATATACAGTTTAATACAGTCTATAACAACATAGTGATCTAAGGCCTTATTCTTAAAAACTTAAAATGATATTAGTATTCCTGCCATCTGATTGGTCAATCACTAGAATTAATTTTAAATTTAGATTTGTAATCCAATCAGATTACTGGATTTTCTTTAAATTAAGTTTTGGAGAATAAGGCAATGGATTAAAAGAGATGAGTTATGACAGTACAGACATATATCTTAATGGTTATATGATTATTAGACTGGAACACTTTACACAATCAAGATGAAGTTTTTGAAAAAAAAAAAAACGAAATAAATTTTACTTTTGCACCTGACCTGGCTTCAATAGCGCAGGACAGTTACATTAGCCCAATCTTCTTCCATTTCTTACTGTTGAAGAATTTTAAACATGTACAGCCTGTAGCAAAACAGGGCCTCGCTTTATTGTTACATTTGTGATTAAGTATATGAAAAGAAATTGATAAATAAAAATAAACACCCTTAACCATATCACAATTAATAGAAATTCAGCACTACAAACTAGTAGAATAAATATAAAATAACAATTAAATTCCAGTTTCAAACTACTAACACAGCCAAGCTTAAATTATCTCTGACAAATTAAATCCACCCTAGAAAACTAAAGATGCCTTCACACCAGAGCAATAACCAGTTGCGAATAAGGAAAGTGGCCACGAGTTTCAAAAGTAAACTCAAAACACATTTGCATTAAGTTATGCACTTAAAACTAATGACCGCTTTTCTTATGCAACTGGTGATTGTTATGTATGGTGTGAAGGCCCCTTGGAACAGAACAAAAAGGTCTAAGTGTCCTAAATGAAATCTTTCAAATTTTAATCATCAGTTTCAAACCAAGTAATCTGATTGGTCAATCACTAAAATTGACTTTAAATTTAGTTTTATTATCCAATCAGATTACTGTATTTCCTAAAATCTTGATTTTATCTTCGTTCAGTTTTCAAAAATAAAGCTCCAGGTAACTTGTTTCAATGGAGAAAAACTTCTGTTAGAAATCTGCTGGTCCATATTGTGGAATAGTAATGTGTATCTCTATATCAACTTAACTCTAAATGTCTTAATATAGTTTTATATCTTCATTAATATCATCATTATATCTTTACCAGTGTTTATATCTTCATTAATATCATCATTATATCTTTACCAGTGTTTATTCCCAGTTTTCCCAATCATCATCATCATCCTGAGATAAAATATAAACAAAATATAAATACATTACGCCGTTTATTGGAAATAAATTGAAAGACATCTGGCAAGGTATTCTCGAAATGAACTTAGTTCTTGGATGTCCTAGAAACAGTGTTTGAAGATTAGATCCTAGGACATCTTAGCCTTTAGATCGTTGCCAGAATACGTGACCTGGAGCGGAAATAAACAACTATATTTTACAAGGATAACTTAGGTTCATGAGGAATCAGTCTACCAGCTGGTCGTTTTAAAAACATCTTGGAAATAGCAAGCTATCTAATTAAATGGGACTATAAAATACTTGAAATCTACCTCTAAGTCTAAGTTATCTCCCATTTTCTTGGCCAGTTCTTCTGCTGCCTTCAGTTCCTCCTCTGTAACATCTAAATCAAAATCTTTATCCCAGTCATCTTCAGTACTTGTATCTACAACATTACATAAAATAAAAATAATCTGTTTTTTCTGCAAACATACAAGGTGAGATGAGGACATCAGTATCAGCCTTCTTGTTTTGATATCCAACTGTTGCTGGACCTTTAACGTTCACAGCCTGTAGCACACAGGGCCTCTCTTTATTGTTCCATCCAAATGACTCGACTCTTTTTCAATGTCAGTCCCTCCAACCTGCATCATTGACAAAAGGAAACTGGTTGAACAAGGTTGGTTGGTAGATGACATGCTAATGTTCGCTTCCAGTGGATGCTGAAATTGCAAAGTAGGTAGTCGTTTTTACATTCCAATCAGACATGCTTGGCTAATCAATAAGCCTGAATTCTTACCTTTATTTCCACTAGAATCTGAGGTTGGAGAAACCCTATCACCTCCTACTATCACCATATCACCTTTATCTTTAGTTTTAATATCACTAGTTACCTTCTCTTGCTTCTTACCACTACCACTAGGTAGCACTTCCTCTACTTTCATTTTAATGTCTTTACTTTCACTTTCTACAACTTTGCTGACACTAGATTCTGATTGGTCATTTTCTTTCTCTGTCTTATTTGATTGGTCCACTGAAACGTCTAAAACATCAGGTTTTACAGGTTTAGGTTCAATATTGTCTTTTTTGGTTCCAATATCTTTTTCGCTAGGGAACGTCTCAGAATATTCAAGTTTGTCTGCCTCTACAACCCTGTTTGAAGGCTGAGGCACAGTTTCAGAAAGTTCAACAGGGGAGATATGGTCAGAAATTGCACTGTTATTTGTATTGTTTGAAATGTCTGTTTTTGGTAAAACAGTTATTTCCAGATTTTCATTTGACGAAATTTTCCGGCTTTCGGGTTGAATTTCAGAATTGGGCTCAGTCGGTGAAAGTTCTGTTTCTTTTGCGGATGACGGCAATGATTCGAGAAGGATATTGGTAGTAGGGGTGAAGTCAACTTTAGGCTTATCATCTGCAGATGGCTTCTCTGTTGACGAGCCAGTTTGTTCCTTCAGCTCTGTACTTTTCTCTACAGTTTTAGAAGTCTCTGGGCTTTTCTTTATGAAAGGTTCCACGGATCTTTGTCGTTCTTTAAGGTCTGCCTTCTCTGTTGTTATTTCTGAATTTTTCTTTACAGAAGATTCCTTTGAACTTAGTTGTTCTTTAGGGTCCGACTTGACTTCTGTTCTTGGTGAAGGTGCCTTTGCTTGTTTATCTGTTGGAACAAGTGGAACTGGTACTGGAGTGTTAACAGCTGATTTTGGAGGGACATCCTTCAATTCTACTATTTCTATATCATCTTCATCTGCACTGCCCCAATCATCTGAAACATCAAGAAGAAAGTTGTATTGACTATGGACAAAGGTCAAAACTAAGAGCTATTTGATAATTGGTTTCCAAACGGTTACTTTTAAATATTCCTTTCCCAGTAAAAAGCGTGCAGATATCTGGGTTTAACACTGGATTAACGAGGCTCCACTGTATATAGACACCCTTTTAAAATCATGGACCAGATTTAGTCTTTCTTAAAAGTAACTCTTGCTACTCGACTACTTACCATTAACAGAGTTACTCCTCCCAGATGTTTCTGCTCGTTTAATCAAGGCTTGTTTTCGTGCCTCGTCTAGCGCCATCTGATGTAGTTTATAGAAATATCTCTGCCAAAATGTTGCATGAGCTAATTCTGCTGGTACCTGTAGAAGAAAGAAGATTGGATCCAAAACAATATCTGGTCATAACAATCAACTTTATTGTTGATATAGCTCAAAGACTAAAAAAGCTTCATGGTGATTAGGAATCATGGCTTCAACTTCCTTCAAAACATAAAAAATCGTAATTTCATTAGAGTGTTTACTCTAAACCCTTCATATAGGATATATTTTTTCAATCAAAAAGAACTATTTGTGCTTTTTGTTTTTATGTTTACTTCATCTCTGAACTTACTTACTTACTTGATAAATCTTGTACTATCTGGCTTCTAGAAGTTGATAACACCATCCCTTTCTAAAAGCAAACTTATTGAAGAAGCTAAAACCTATCAAGAATAAGGCCTAGAGCTCTGGAAGCTCATACCATCCCTTTCTCTCAGCAAATTAAATGACAAACCTCAAACCTACCAATTTAGTATAAAGAGCTCGAACTTCGACTTTAGACACTAACAATTCCGATATATCACCCTTCTTAGTCTCAATATCAAAATGTCGGCACCATTCTTTAAAATGCTCTGGAGATCCGTTGGGCTCATTGAGGTACGTACCTGGGTCAACTTGTATAGCATGTAATCTAGCCTGTCAATAGAATAATAGAGAAACTCTTGAGTAACAACATGATTTCAACAGTGGTGTTTCTATAACGCTCTACAATTGATGTATTGAGCACTATTTTAACACTGGTATTTCTATATCGCTCTACAATTGATGTATTGAGTACTATTTTAACACTGGTATTTCTATATCGCTCTACAATTGATGTATTGAGCACTATTTTAACACTGGTATTTCTATATCGCTCTACAATTGATGTATTGAGCACTATTTTAACAGTGGTGTTTCTATATCGCTCTACAATTGATGTATTGAGCACCATTTTAACAGTGGTATTTCTATATCGCTCTACAATTGATGTATTGAGTACTATTTTAACAGTGGTATTTCTATATCGCTCTACAATTGATGTATTGAGTACTATTTTAACAGTAGTATTTCCATATTGCTCTACAATTGATGTATTGAGTACTATTTTAACAGTAGTATTTCTATATTGCTCTACAATTGATGTATTGAGCACTATTTTATCAGTGGTATTTCTATATCGCTCTACAATTGATGTATTGAGCACTATTTTATCAGTGGTATTTCTATATCGCTCTACAATTGATGTATTGAGCACTATTTTAACAGTGGTATTTCTATATCTCTCTACAATTGATGTATTGAGCACTATTTTAACAGTGGTATTTCTATATCGCTCTACAATTGATGTATTGGCACTATTTTAACAGTGGTATTTCTATATCTCTCTACAATTGATGTATTGAGCACTATTTTAACAATGGTATTTCTATATCACTCTACAGTTGATGTATTGAGCACTATTTTTACAGTGAAAATATCTTTGTACCTTAGATCTATCATAAATAGCTGATTCTGATGAAACAATCAGCATGGGTTTCTCCCCTTCATCATCTGGTGGTATAGTCAAAGCTTTCGTTATTCCTTGAAACAAGGTGTTTATTCCTTCTTTCATCCGATTCTTAGCTGTTGATGCATTCTCTGCCTGAAAATACACAAATATAATGTTTAATAGTGAATAAACCGACCAATATATAAACCAATCCAAGCTGACTAAAGCTCATCTCTGTTTCAGATACATAATTCAGCTAGCTTTTGAAATAAGTTTTAATTTGCAAACAGTGGAGTAATAAATTCACTGCCACGTTTTGATGTTCAATAATTTCAAGTAAATGTGTGCACTTAAAAGTTAATTAAAAAGAAATGTCATAAGCTTATACCTATATGAACTAGTTAATTACCTTGATTGTCTCTTTAACAGTGGTGGTTGTAGCATTGAATGCATGTTCTGTATCTGACTGGACAGTACATGTGAACTCTCCTAAATCTCTCTTTACCATCTCATATGCAGATGCAGACTATACATAAAAAAACAAAAACAAAAACTTAAGTAAATAAAATTTTAAAATAGGAAAACAATGAACAAATATATCTGATTTTGTCAAACGGATGAAATTCGTTGAAAAGCCTAGTTACAGAGATGATTGTGACACTCACAGTTTCCTTGGCAGCTTGAATCCATGATCCCCACCAGCTTTCACCTTGTTCCTCTACAGATTTTGGATCACTGCAAAAAAGGAAAGAAAATGCTTGAGCAACTGTATTCTATCTTCAAGCCTCTATACATGATAAAGATTGTACCTGACTTGAAGTCATTGGCTTTAAGCTCGTGTCTTGAGTTTGAAAAGGATAGATTAGTAATCAATAACATCAATTTGCACCATTCCAAATTTTCAGTCAGATGTCTTTGGTTCCTGCAATTCCACACAAAAATTGATGCTATCAAGTACCAGTGTCCCCAATTGTGGCTTCATTCATATTAGTTTTGAGTTCATTTGTAAAAACCTATTTTAGGTCAAGTGCCAAAATATTATCTGTAGGTCAGTGTAATCAGCTGATCTAAATTTGCCATTGGCAACACAACTTCAAAGATAAAATCAAAAACAACACAAAAGCCATATTGAAAGCTTAAAAAGAAAATGACATAAAGATATTTATACTAAATTCAGTAAATGTTGGGACACTTAGACTTCTTGATATCTTGTTTGCCTTGCTGAAGAGAAGTCGAGAAGAAAAAAAAAAGACACTATTGTTTTTTAATGCAATGGCTACAACCTCAAATCAGAAGAATGGGTGTCATGGTTTGATGTGGGAAATAGTCGAATGGTTGACACAAAAAGACAACATCAAAATATCAAATCACACGAATTCGAAGCCATTATTTCGATTTTTATTTATGAATACGTAATTTAAAGTTTACCTTTCAGCCATTTTTGTAGCCTCGAAACCAAAATGTTGTTAATCACAACAAAGGATACGATTTACCAAAATTGAAACTTCTAAGAAAGAATGCGTGTATTAATTTCATGAATAAATCATTGAGAAGAAACTTAAATGGGGTATATCTCGTAAAACTAAATTTTTATCTACTCTCTAATCTCTACTTTTTCGTTTTTGTAAGGAATTCGAAAGTGTATCCAGAGTATTACGACAACGTAGCCTATATCAATTGAAACGTACCCATTCCAATTAATCTTTTTCCTTGTCTGACACAAACATAACCTCAAATATGCCGACTTTCACGTACCGTATTTATCCATTTAGCTAATAAAGGGGAGCAATACAATGACGTGTACAATGTGCATAGAGTTATAAGTAGAACATTATATAATAGGTATGACAATATGCAGAAAGAAATTAAATACTTAAAGATGGGTTTCCTTGTTTTTTGTGTCAAATTAAGCAAACTATTTGATGGGTTGGTGTTTCTAATGAATTATCGTGTATTCTTAATCATATCACTATGTTCTTATTGCGTATGGTTAAAAGTTTTAACCAATCTTAAATGCCCATATATGTACAGTCTGGATAAAAAAAAAAAGGATTTTGACCTTGCTTGATCGGTCACTCATTGGAATTCTGCTGATAATTCTCTTCTAATTTAGCTAATTATGAATTGATTATGGACATGTCAGACAAACTGGTATTTTTCCATGTCATTAGAACACCTCAACTTTCTATTCATATAAGTATTAGCATTTTCATTTTCATAAATGTAAATAAGGGAACCCATCTTTAAGGTTTTTATTTTATAGCAATTTCTGCGGCCTTCGAACTGTTCATAGAATTTCTTTTAAGCTTGTAGAAGGTAGGATAGGCCTAAACAAGTTATATAATATAGAATTTGTCATTGAAAAGTTAGGCTATTTCTTTTAAGAGATCTTGGTTTCACTTATGTGTTTATTGTAGTACTGGTAGTCATAGATCGGAATTTCAAAATGCACTTTATGAATAGATCACTATATATAGACCTATATTTAGCGTAAACAAATTAAAGGGATTGTAAAGAGGTTTTCTTATTGTATGTGTATCGGGGACGCTGATAGTATCAATTTGTAACATTCCAATTTTCAATTTTCTGTGGTTCTTGTAATAACACTGTAACTAAGTGTTTGATGACGTCACTAATCGTAAAATATGCTATGGGCCTATCACATAAAGAATTCGCGATTAGAGACATCATACACGCTTAGTTTTAGTGGAATTGCAGGAATCACAGACGTCTGATTCGAAATTAGGTGAATTAGGTGCAATTTGATGTTATCAGTGTTCCCAATACACATAAAAATTTAGAAAACTTCTTTAAAATCCCTTTAATTGGTATTATATTGTACAGCTTATTCCGCCTATTTTTAAATCTATTCAGATCTTATTTCAGTTTACTTATTTATAATTTATTCATAAAGTACATTGGTAAAAGGAATATTTATATTACAATCATTATAAAAAGATAACAAGACAGGAAATTCTATTTATAGATAATTACTAATAACTTAAAAAGGACTACCAAAAGCTAATCCTATATTCTTTTATATAGACTACCAGTAATATTTTGAAGCTGATATTCCAATTCTCAATAACAGTGATATTTCTATATCGCTCTACAATTGATGTATTGAGCACTATTTTAACAGTGATATTTCTATATTGCTCTACAATTGATGTATTGAGTACTATTTTAACAGTGGTATTTCTATATCGCTCTACAATTGATGTATTGAGCCCATTTTAACAGTGGTATTTCTATATTGCTCTACAATTGATGTATTGAGCACTATTTTAACAGTGGTATTTCTATATTGCTCTACAATTGATGCATTGAGTACTATTTTAACAGTGGTATTTCTATATCGCTCTACAATTGATGCATTGAGTACTATTTTAACAGTGGTATTTCTATATCGCTCTACGTTGAACACTATTTTAACAGTGGTATTTCTATATCGCTCTACAATTGATGTATTGGGCACTATTTTAACATTGGAATTCTATATCACTCTACAATTGATGTATTGAGCACTATTTTAACAGCGGTATTTCTATATCGCTCTACAATTGATGTATTGAGTACTATTTTAACAGTGGTATTTCTATATCGCTCTACAATTGATGTATTGAGTACTATTTTAACAGTGGTATTTCTATATCGCTCTACAATTGATGCATTTAGTACTATTTTAACAGTGGTGTTCTATATCGCTCTACAATTGATGTGTTGAACACTATTTATCAGTGATATTTCTATATCGCTCTACAATTGATGTATTGAGCACTATTTTAACAGTGGTATTTCTATATCGCTCTACAATTGATGTATTGAGTACTATTTTAACAGAGGTATTTCTATATCGCTCTACAATTGATGTATTGAGTACTATTTTAACAGTGGTATTTCTATATCGCTCTATAATTGATGTATTGAGCACTATTTTATCAGTGATATTTCTATATCGCTCTATAATTGATGTATTGAGCACTATTTTAACAGTGGTATTTCTATATTGCTCTACAATTATTGTAGTGAGCACTATTTATCAATGATATTTCTATATCGCTCTACAATTGATGTATTGAGCACTATTTATCAGTGATATTTCTATATCGCTCTACAATTGATGTGTAGAACACTATTTATCAGTGATATTTCTATATCGCTTTACAATTGATGTATTGAGCACTATATTAACAGTGGTATTACCATATCGCTCTACAATTGATGTATTGAGCACTATTTTAACAGTGATATTTCTATATTGCTCTACAATTGATGTATTGAGCACTATTTTAACAGTGATATTTCTATATCGCTCTACAATTATTGTAGTGAGCACTATTTATCAATGATATTTCTATATCGCTCTACAATTGATGTATTGAACACTATTTTAACAGTGATATTTCTATATCGCTCTACAATTGATGCATTGAGTACTATTTTAACAGTGGTATTTCTATATTGCTCTACAATTGATGTATTGAGTACTATTTTAACAGTGGTATTTCTATATCTCTCTACAATTGATGTATTGAGTACTATTTTAACAGTGGTATATCTATATCTCTCTACAATTAATGTATTGAGTACTATTTTAACAGTGGTATTTCTATATCACTCTACAATTGATGTATTAAGTAGTATTTTAACAGTGGTATTTCTATATCGCTCTACAATTGATGCATTGAGTACTATTTTAACAGTGGTATTTCTATATCGCTCTACAATTGATGCATTGAGTACTATTTTAATAGTGGTATTTCTATATCACTCTACAATTGGTGTATTGAGTACTATTTTAACAGTGGTATTTCTATATCACTCTACAATTGGTGTATTGAGTACTATTTTAACAGTGGTATTTCTATATCACTCTACAATTGGTGTATTGAGTACTATTTTAACAGTGATATTTCTATATCGCTCTACAATTGATGCATTGAGCGCTATTTTAACAGTGGTATTTCTATATCGCTCTACAATTGATGTATTGAGCACTATTTTAACAGTGGTATTTCTATATCGCTCTACAATTGATGCATTGAGTACTATTTTATCAGTGGTATTTCTATATCGCTCTACAATTGATGTATTGAGCACTATTTTAACAGTGGTATTTCTATATCGCTCTACAGTTGATGCATTGAGTACTATTTTAACAGTGGTATTTCTATATCGCTCTACAATTGATGTATTGAGCACTATTTTAACAGTGGTATTTCTATATCGCTCTACAGTTGATGCATTGAGTACTATTTTAACAGTGATATTTCTATATCGCTCTACAGTTGATGCATTGAGCACTATTTTAACAGTGGTATTTCTATATCGCTCTACAATTGATGTATTGAGCACTATTTTAACAGTGGTATTTCTATATCTCTCTACAATTGATGTATTGAGCATTATTTTAACAGTGGTATTTCTATATCACTCTACAATTGATGTATTGAGTACTATTTTAACAGTGATATTTCTATATCGCTCTATAATTGATGTATTGAGTACTATTTTAACAGTGGTATTTCTATATCGCTCTATTATTGATGTATTGAGCACTATTTTAACAGTAATATTTCTATATCGCTTTACAATTGATGTATTGAGCACTATTTTAACAGTGGTATTTCTATATCGCTCTACAATTGATGTATTGAACACTATTTTAACAGTGAGAATATTTTATGATATAACAATTGCATATTCGCACTGCGTGAAACAAGATGTTTCAGGTTCTGTTTTATTATTTCTATATGATAATATGTAGAATGAAACAACATATAGAAATTAAGGAAAAGATATATCTAGAAATACAGTTTAATTACAGTAAACTATCAAACGCACTAGGATGTATATTGCATGATTTGATATCAATGGTGTCAAGTCCATTATACATTACTATGGGTTACACAATGTACAGCAATACTATATCATTTCTGGGTCAAAAGCATACACCGTAAAAGGGCGTTTCTTCAATAAACTTGTTGCAATATTTCGGAAAGCCGAAGAGTGACGTGCATAGTGTATAAGTCTGGACGATTTGGATTAAGCCATATAACTTTTAGTATTGGTGTTTTGTGTATAAAGGTAGTGTTCAAACCTTGGTTTAGATTGAATATACAGGACATTATTGTTGTTGTATATCTCGTTTTCGTGATGATATTGTGATAACGATGTTTGTGACTTAACTCGCATTGAATGGGTAGGTACAATGTTAAATTAAACTGTAATTTGAACCATCATTCTCCTTCAGGGCTGTACGAGGCAGAAATCCTGTTGGCTTCACCACAACGCTTTCGATAGTCTTCATACAGTACCCGCCTTTACTGTAGACATAAAATAGGCGACATACTTAGTCGATTTATATGTTAAATTCTGCATGAGGCATTTGCCCATTTGACTTGATGTAGTTACGGCCATAGCCTTTTGATAGTACGGAAAAGATCAATGCCAAGAGGTTTGATCAAGTACCAGCCTGTAGACCAGCCTCCTGATAGGTGTGTATCCGTTCAGAGGGCCGAATTTTCACATAAAAAGTCCTTTCAAGCTGTGAAAGGAAGGGAGGGGGGGGGGGGGGGGGGGGGGGGGGGGGGCCCAAAGGCCCCCCCCCCAAAAACCCC